AAGGAGAACGGATGGCTTTGAAAAAAAGGATACGAAACGAGAACGCCGAGTAATACGCCAGGCCTGCAATAGAAAAAAATGAAGCTCTGCAGCTCGGATATCACACGTGTAATCTGATGGGCAATGCAGGTCGTAAGGGAGTATCAAAATCAGGCAGGAGCGTGTAGATGCGACCCATATGTGCGCAAGACAAGATCTAACGGGTAAATCGTAAAGTGAAAACAACAAGCGCGAATGCTCTAGGATCAAATATGCCAGCGCGAGTCAAGCTGACACAATGGATTGCGCGAAGAACCAATCACTGTCCGCTGTTCTTCTTCCAACGAAGAAGTTCGGCTAGGCTTGCCAGACTGCAGCCTGTCTTGAGGAAGTCATGTTCCAAGAGTTCGTCAGCGGTAGCACGGCTGTTGACATCGACACAGAGGCAGACACTGAGGAAGGATTTGAGCTCCCTACTCAGCTTTTCGGGCTTCTTCAAGCGAGGGGTTCCGTTTGTGGCGATCAGGTACAACGCCTTCAGTGGTTCCTCGTTCAGATATGGGGGCTCGGACTCAATCATCTCGATGGCCATGATCCCCAATGACCAACAGTCAACTTTGGGTCCATACTCCTTCTGCTTGACCACCTCCGGTGCCATCCAGTAAGGAGTACCGACCATTGTTGCACGTTTGCTCTTTGATTCGGTAAGTTTGGCGCAGAAACCAAAATCAGCTTGAAGAGTCAAGTCAGTAAATCGGCAAGATCCAGCGCTCTGAGGAGCAGACTCACTAATCTTGACATGACCAGCGCGATCAAGAAGAACATTGTCACTCTTGATATCACGATGGATGATATTCTGTCCATGAAGGTGGGCCAGACCCTTGCAAGTCTGGGTAGAAAAAAGAAGGGTAACAAGTCAGCATCGCAGCAACCCCAGTGAAATCCTCGTGCACTTTGAGCTATGAACGTACCTCTGCACAGATTGTCGCGATTTGATCTTCCTGAATAACAGGGTTGTTGTCGATGACATCCGTGAGGGCGCCTCCCTCCATGAACTCCATCACAACCCATAGCTCGTTACTCTGTTCCTGCAAGAACGAATCAAGAAAGTTGACGATGTTCGCATGCTGACTGTCCTTCATAACGATAATCTCATTGACAATGAGCTCTTTGCGGGGCTGGCTGCGCAGGTCCATCTGTTTGATAGCAACCTGACACCGAGGGCCATATTGCCGGTAGAGCTCCCGTGCGACAGGGGAAACAGCGTGCTCCTTAACACGCGCGACATACACGGAACCTGACGCTCCTTGTCCGATTTTTCGTTGCTTGCTGTATGACTCGTTCGGATTATCTTTGGAGACCACGGACCTCAGTCGATCCATGACTTCATTTTCAGACATTGCCGACATGCGGACCTCCTTGTGGCGTGGTTCAGCCTTCTTGGTCAGTGCAGCTTCGGCCTGACGAACACTGTCCGGAACGTTGCCTTTCTGTGCCGCCTGCTTGTTCGCAATGTTCAATGGTTTCACAGCTTGCACAGGCGCGGGAAGCTTGGATGGGGGGGGGCCCTGTGCCGCTTTGGTGCCATTGTTCTGCGCACGAGCGGCCTGAGCCCGTGGATCATTTGGAGCGTAACGAGCGTTGGGAGAATTCTTTGCGCTTCCATTGCTCGAAGTAGTGGGAGGAGCGGGTGCTGGGCGCTGAGCAGTCAATTGACGAGAAGGATCTTGACGAGTCGAGCCAGGGGCTTGCGGCGCGGGACGGCTTGGCTTGTAGCGATCGGCCATGGAGGAGTCGCCGCCATAGCCGCCAAGCTCCTGCTTGGACAGGGGAACACGAGTCTTAGGGATGGAGGCGTTGTATGCTTCCTGATCGAGTCTGTTCTGTTCGTCTTCACGTTGACGAGCCCGGCGGGTTTCTTCTTCGACACGTCGACGCTCCTGTTCTGCCATCTCCTTCATTCTTTCGAGCTGCTGCTGCTGGTCCAAAGCACGATCAGACTCCGCCTTCTGAGAAGGTGACGAATTTGCCGAGCGACTTGTTTGGGAGTGTCCGCTATCCAAACGCTGCGCAGGGCCCGGCGGCGGCGGCCTCGGGGGAGCAATGGAGCTGCCCACAGAGTTGTTGCTGTAGGGCTTTGACTGCTGACTGGACGGAGGACCGGCCAATCCAGCGTAGTACTGCGGGTTCTGTTCGCGCATCTTGATATCGGAGTAGAACTCTAGAACCTCGATCACCGCCTGGGGGTTCTTCTTGTAGTCTTCCTTGGTGATGGCCGACGCGGTCAGCAGCTTCTCCCACTCCGGGGGTAAGCCCACAAAGGCGCCGGTTTGCGGATCGAAGCCGACATGGACACGGTGGCTGAAATTTGTCGGGTTGCTCACACCTCCCATGCCAGGGCAACGCTCGTAAATTTTGTCAATCCAGTCATAGATTTCATCGTCACTCTTGACTTCGCAGGTAATTGTTTTGGTGGGCACGTCGCGAGTGATCAAGGCGGCCTTGGAAGCTGCATCCTTTGCATTGGCCAAACGAATGATCTCAAAAGCCATCCGAGTGTCCTCAGAACGAGACACGCTGGTGACCGTGTTGAGCGGGATGGATAAGACCACCTTCCCCGTCTCATTCTTCAGGAAATCAAGACGGAACTCGCGCAGAATGAGGTATCTCTGATTCCAAGTAGCCAAGAACTTGTCTTCTTTGCAGCGGACATAGCCCTCTTTTACGACGGCAACGCCCCCTTGGCCGGACTGGTTTGTCTTGGTCTGTGAGAGGGCCGGACTGCTGGTGTTAGGAAACAGAGACAGATTCGCGGATCCAGGAGTACTTGGAGAATTGAGACTCATTTGACTAAATGAAGTAGCCACGCCGGAGGGGTTCGAAGGGAGTGTGAGTTTTGGACGGTCGGTAGGGGGGCGGGGAGCGGGCCCGGGGTTCATGAATTGGTCGGAGGAATACATACTGCGACAGAGGTCAGTCAAATTTCTGGAATTGAGACCAATCAATGCCCAAGAATGGTATAGACTGCATGGTCAGACAAAGAAGCGCTCGACATACGTTCCAGTTGACGAGATACTGTGAAGGACAATAGGAATGCGGAAGCCCCAAGGAGGGGGGGAGTAGCCTCAGGGGTTCCGTTGACCAAAAGGGCGACACGAGGGAAATCAACACGCAACGGGCAGAGACGCTGCAATGGTTCCCTAAAACAGCAGAACAATAATGTTAGCAAGACGCAGCGACACCAAAATTGCCCGCATACAAGACAAGACCTGAGCGACTCTGCCACCAAGGGTGGAATAAACCCCCACTCCGAGGACTGACTCGTCCAGGGGCGGCGATCCTATCAGCAAAGAGCCGCACAGGAGTTGGGGAGCCAGCGAGGAATCTCTGAAATAGAAGTATACAAGATATTGCCGCTGTTGGCTTCGAAGATGATCTTACCTGGTTCCCTTTCCGCCTCTGACCAGCAGAGCCCTCGCGTGGGCGAGGAAGCTCCAAGTGGGAGATACCTCGAATCTGGGGACGGGACGCGGTGAGGGCTTAGTGAGCCAAGGCTGGGACTAGTGTTGCAATTTCGCAAGCTGTTTGAAGGATCAGCAACAAGAGATACTATGAATTAGAGAGGATAGAATCTCACAGCGACAGAGTAGAGCACAGGAAGAAGTTTCAGGAGTTTACTTCACTGGTGGGGAGGAAAAGAAAGAGAGGAGGGAGGAAGGGAGAGGGAGAGGGAGAGGGAGGAAGAAGAGAGAGAGTGGGGAAGACAGGAACAAGGAGGTGTTAATATTGATTGGAAGGGGATTAATACTCTGCTACGAACTAGATACTACTCAGGAGTTAGAAGTAGTAGATAGTAGTAATAGTAGGAGTGAAGTTTCATCTTCCAACATTATCAATCTGGTAGAGGATTAAGAATCAAGACATTGGATGTTATTATTGTACATATTATTCTTGTTTGGATGCAATCACCCTATAGTCTTTCTTAACAGGAGTATGTCGTCAACTGCTTGTAAGCCCACAATCAAAGTATATCTAGATAGTCAAGAGCTCAGACACATGAGCCTGATGGATTAATGAACTGATAGGATACCGATTTTCTGTGGCTTCTAGAATGCTGGAAGATGTGAGACTGCCATGGTTCAACATCAAGGTACGTACCATTATTGCTACCTCTCTCCTGACAGTAATAGAACCAACCCTATTATCTTCGTCGACGTCTATCTCGACATTCGTCTCTAGGAATAGAATCGAACTCAATGTCTGAACCGGATTGCATTGAGCTGAGCTCCGGGTCAGCTCCACGAGGGCGGGACACTGGCTGCTTGAGGCTCGACAGGGTGCGGTAACTTGGCCTCTGAGCCATAGCACTGTATTATCATCAATTCATCATTATCATAGGTAGGTAGTTTAATGGTTGAATCAGATTAATTAAATTACACTGGTCATAGTCAGTTTATTTGACACTACTCCGTAGACTTGACTGCAGCATAGAACTTATTTCTAGAATGTTGTTCTGCTTCTAATCTACCCATCTATCTACTAGGTGACAATTAATCTTCAGCATTATTGTAACAATTGATCGACAGGATCCTCCCATCTCAGATACAACGTCCCTGATCAGTGATCACTATCTATCTATCTACGTACTAGAATCTACGGAGTACTCCACCAAAGGTCTCGAACTTCTTCCCGTTCCAGTGTGAAACTCCGGAGTAAACCATGCCCAAGTCGAGCCGACTCCTGGACCCACGACGGGTCAGCATACATGATACTACGGAGTACAGCAATAAATAATCAGAATCCCAGAAATCTGCATTTCATGGATCGGCCCACTCGGTGGTTGCAACTGAGCCTCCCCGGGCAAAACTTGGATATCTGATAAACAAACAATATTAATAATGATTATGATGGGACAAGAAGAAAGTTAAGAAAACCCATTGGATTTCGTCCGGTTGACCTAAACAGGTACGGTACCTAAATATTTACTCATACCTACTGGGGATTAACAGTGAGGATATAGATCAGGGCTCCTCTCCAAACGGATGATTGAACTTCAGCAGTCCATTCAGTCCACCCACCCAGCCATCATGCGCTTCAGCGCCTGTGACCTTCCGCATCACGCATGGCACGCCGCCATGCCACTCGTTCTTGCCATGCCGCATCTCCTCATTCCACACGCGAGCTTCCGTCCCCACCGTCATCCCCTGTCCCAAATTGACCCCGTCAATGCTGATCTCTAGCTCCCGCCCCCGATTTTTTTCACTCAGTCGAAGCGTGATCGGAGTACTCGAGGGCAGGACCAGAGGCCGGAAGCTGAGGCTCCGAGCACAGATAGGCGTCAAAAGCACGGCCGGTACCAGGGGATGGACAATGCTCCCCCCACTGCTCAAGCTGTATGCCGTACTGCCCGTAGGCGTTGAGATGATCATCCCGTCTGCCACTGCTTCCGTCAGGAACCGACCGCCGACGTACACATCAACCACAGCTAGATGTGGCTCTTTGCCGCGATGAAGAAGCACTTCATTCATTACATACACCCCCTGGGTACCCAGAGGATCCTTTGCGACAGGGGTGTTTTGTTGTCCTTGGATTGGTTTGCCGTCGGCCGTGAACAGCCCGACCTTCAGGCGGTTCCGCATCAGAATCCGAGCCCCCCGGGTTGAACCCATTGACTTTCCACGAACCGAAGACCATCCCGTCGGCCCTGTCCCATCTTCCATCTGGTCTAGGATCGGTGCCCGATCTCCGACACCGGCTCCTGACATGTATACTTCACGAAAGGCGCGCTTGTATTCGGCGAATTTCCATTCGCTTAGAAACCCCAGTGTTCCCATACTGAATGACAACATGGGAGGTACATTAACGCACGTAGCGAACAGGGAAGATGCTCGTAGGATTGTCCCATCTCCCCCCAGGGTGACCGTCATATCCACTTTGTCATGTAATGCGGATGGGTCATGATCTGGAAGTGTTGAGTAGACGGGGAAAGGAAGCGAAGAGTGAATTTCATCGGCAGTCTTTCGTTCTAGGATGATGGCAATTGATGGATAGGTCGATCTGGTGTGGCTAGACTCTCCAGAGTTTGTGTCAGTAAAGGTCTTTCCCGGGATACATCACTCATCCAGTGTTCTATACGCAGCGAATTCAACCAGCGATTCCGTCACCGCTGGTGCACATTCTTTCTTGACAACAAGAATATTCCTTGGAGGTGCTGGCCACCGAAGCGTAAGCAGATCGCCTTCTCGAGATTCTGGCAAAGGTCAGCGATCTTCGCCCAGCATGCCCGAGCCAACGGTACGAGGTGGCGCACACCTTCATATTTGGGTATGATACGTTGCGGTAGCGTTCGAATATCTCTAATCTCTTGCAGATACGAAGAAGCTGAGAAACCTCTTGTCCACAGAATCCGTCGCCCGAATCCCAATCTGACGGGTCGAAAATGAATCATAGCCACTTGAATTATAAGGGTACTGGCTCGCACAGCTATCCATTAGCTTAAGTCGCAAGCTATTGCAATTCGAGATTCCTCCTCCCTCTTCACTTATGATGCATCGACTCACATTACGGATTGTTTCTGTCCATCTTCTGACCGGGTCTTCGTGAGTCACGCCGTCAAGAACGTTTGCAGTATTTCTTTTATTTCAAGGACATTCTCAATGCTTACAGCCGCTCGTTCACTGCTCTCATACAGGCAAAGCAAATTTGCTGCAGACTATCAATCAAAGTTTAGGTAACGATAGTAAGGTAGAGGATTACTAGAACTCCGTACAGACAACGCAAGAGTAGACCACCCCAGAAAGATCGACCATCGCACTGACCGCCTTTACCTATTAATACTGTATCAGTAGGCCAAGGTACGTCACTCACGCTCCGAGGGCGGTGCTTTGATTGCCTAGGGAAGGTTGTCTACCCGCTCCGTCATCACAAGATCGCTTCATCCATTACCTATTCGCTTGCTTGTGGCCCGCCAGCAGCCGTGGTGGACGGTTGATTATTGTTATTTAGCTTCCTAGGTCTTTCTCTCTTCTTATTTCCACTCCTCGAAGCATGGCTTGATCATTCCTTTTCCCCATTTTTATTTACTCACCGCGATCCTCCCTTTACGACGTCTTGTGTCGCCCACTGTGCCCACACAGCTTTAGGCAGCGAGACACTGCTTGCTTATTTATACCTAATCCCCCAGTGCGTTGATTGCTCATGTGCTTCGTACGAGGGATAGTTCACTGACTTCGTTCTCTCAGACTTCATCTCAATCGTTCCAATTCGACTGCGGAGGTATTTAGAATAGCTTCGACGAGGGTTACCCGCTCATCATGGAATGTTCAGAGCTTCGTCAGCGAAAGCAAACACCTGGCCTGAAAAGTGATAATGATGTGGTTGAGAAGCCTCAAGGCTTCGAGGACACCAAGCCGCGCCTGAAGCATGGCATCCCTATGCAGCTCCTTCGTTCCCTGTTACTTGCAACATGGTTCAACTGCTGCTGTGTCATTATTCTCGCGACCCAATTGATCGGGTCTCCCCTTTATTTCATAAACAAGGACTATTATTATAGTTATATGGCTCTGACGAAACAATCATTTGGCTTGGTCATAACAGCCCTGACACAATGGGGCTGTCCAACATATGTGCGCGTCAGTGGGGACGAGAGCGTGCGAGGTCAGATTCACCTGAGTAAGGATGGACGACTCAAGACCCAGTTTTCGGAGCGTCTAGTCTTGATTGCCAATCACCAGGTTTATACCGACTGGATCTATCTTTGGTGGATCGCTTACACGAACCAAATGCATGGCCGCATCTTCATCATTCTCAAGGAATCACTCAAGTATCTTCCAATCATCGGGCAGGGTATGGCATTCTACGGTTTCATTTTTATGGCCCGTAAATGGTTGGCCGACAAACCTCGACTACAACATCGTTTGGAAAAACTCAAGACCCAAATGTCCGGTTCCAAATCCGGATCCCCGCAATACGACCCCATGTGGCTCCTGATTTTCCCAGAAGGTACCAACCTGTCCCTAAATACGAAACGACGGAGCGATGAATACGGCCAAAAGCAGGGACTACCGCCCCTGAAACATGAGCTTCTTCCTCGGTCGACCGGTCTCCTCTTCTGCCTACAGCAGCTGAGGGGAACTGTCGATTGGGTATATGACTGCACCGTTGCGTACGAAGGGCCTTCGTAAGTTTCCAAAAGCTTTCCGTGCTCACTACACATTGAATGACTAACAACATTTTTTTCTTTTTCTTTTCCTCAACTGTAGGAAGGGCAGCTATCCCGACAAGTACTTCACTCTCCGATCCACATATTTGCAGGGAAGGCCTCCGACATCCGTCAACATGTACTGGAGACGATTCGCCATGTCCGATATACCTTTGGATGACCCAAAAGAATTTGATACTTGGCTCAGGGCGCGCTGGACGGAAAAGGATGAGCTACTTGACGAATACTACGAAACTGGAAGGTTCCCAACTGCCCTGGCTGGCAGCATTGACGCTGAAGATGTGTCTGATGTACAGAGAGAGGCTGCCTCTAAGGGCTTTGTGGAAACGCATGTCCGGCTAGGTCACTGGACGGAGCTTGGGCGGATATTCATGGTGTTAACAGGCGTGGCCTTTCTTTGCAGATTACCCAAGGTTTTTGGGCTTTGGGACTAGAACAACCTCGAGTCTCCTGGGTGGTGTTAGCCTATCAGTAATTATATTGCTAATACTCTTATGAGCATGAGATGACAGAACGAAATGAGAACATAGATTGATGAGAATGTTGCGAGAGTTTTCAACAGAACGACCGGTAAACAGCATATGACAGGAACATTATGGCTGTACTTGATCTCGGCCCACATCATTATCTAACGCCAATGATCTAGTTATCCGGGTTCATTCAATATCACCATGCAGCAAGCACAGTCCTTTGGATTTGGGATCATCGACATCAACCTAATTAAGGGTGGCGGTGCTGCTTGATGCACTAGCCACTCCTAATAAGGTCCAGCCACTTCTTGATGCCTCAGGCTCCGGCGTGCAACAAAAGATCCAGAAACCGCAGACTGTCTCCATACTCCGTACCTAGTCTCCGAAGCTCCAACACAAGAGCCGGTTTCTTCTTCGACTTCAGCAAGGAGTCTATTCTTCTTTCTCTGTTCGGATACCCGGAAAAATTTATGAGTTTTTCTCACCTAAAATGATCATGACTTGAGCTTTGCCACGAACTTGCATCTCAGCTCAATTCCGAACAGTCGCATCTATCTCTCCGTGTTACCTCCTACCGTCTCATATCGGAGACATTTGCAAAGGACAGCACATATCCCCTCCCCCTAGAAAAGCGTCATGTCGTCGTTAGAAAATGGCTACGCCAACGGCGTCAGTGGCAATCCATTCCTACCGGCCACCTCTCAGGTCAATCTTCGCTTTTCTGACATACCCTCTGCGATCGATATTCCCGCGTCCACCCTTGATAGCGAAGTCGAAGTCAGTTTGGAAGGCCTACCAGACGACCCCACCGAGCTGTGTACCTTGCTGGAGAACGAGAAAGCCGCGAAGAATTTCTGGGTAATTATCGCGCTGGCGTATGCCAAGCAGAAACAGATTGATCATGCGATCGACATACTAAATAAAGGCCTGGCTTCGGTCGCTCATGGAGCAGCCAAAGAGAAACTGGGTCTGCTGGGCTGGGTCTGCTGGCTGTTGATGCTGAAGAGCCGACAGGCCCCCCGAGTCGCTTCGGAAGGGGAACTGTATACTGAGGCCAAGACCAAGGACTATTACCTCCAGCTCGCGACGTCGACGCTGAACGAAGCGTCGCGACTGAACCCGGCTTTCCCTCCTTTGTTTCTCGCCCGAGGCGTTCTGTCCCTTTTGCGGGCTTCCTTGCACCCACCAAGACCGGTTCGACCGGGATCAGTTGATACGTCCGAGAGAGTGGAGTCGCTGCGACAGGCGCTCAAGTGCTTCGATGAATCGTCAAAGGCGTTTGGAGGCCGGAATGTGATGGCGATTCTGGGACGTGCCAGAGCGCAATACTTGCTGGGCAGGTATGCGGAGGCGCTAGAGGGGTATCAGAAGGTTCTGATGAAGATGCCTGGTCTTACAGACCCAGATCCTCGAATCGGTATCGGGTGCTGCTTGTGGCAATTGGGCTTCAAGGATCAGGCGAAGGTTGCTTGGGAGCGGGCGCTGGCACTCGTGAGTTACGAAGGCTACTGTGACCTTTTGCAGAGCATTACTGATGTAATATTTTTTTTATCTCTTGCAGAATCCCGACTCCAAGGTTGCCAACATCCTGCTTGCTGTTTATTACCTCTATGACAGTTCGCGACACGCCACGACAGATCCTGCTTTCGGCTCTTTGTACAAGGTGGCCATGACCCAGTACACGCAGAAAGCCTTCAAATTGGACAAGGAATACCCCATGACATGTGCACTCTTCGGCAGCTATTTCCTTTTGAGAAAGTCCTACTCTACCGTCGAGACTCTGGCGCGGAAAGCCATCGAGCACACCGATGTAATGCCGATTGCCAGTGACGGCTGGTATCTCCTGGGACGCAAAGCTCACTACGAAGGTGACCTTGCCCGCGCTGCGGAGTACTACAGCCGCTCCGATCAAGCGCGAGGTGGTGGCGACAAAGGGTATCTTCCCGCAAAGTTCGGTGCGGTGCAGATGCAGGTTTCCAACCGAAACTACGACGACGCCAAATTCCGGTTGGAGAAAATCATTCAGCAAACCAAGAACCCCGAATGTATGATCCTGCTCGGGGCTCTTCATGCAGAGGAGGTCTTTGCTGCTCAGGCCAGCGGTAGCAAGGAGGACAAGTCGGCGGAAGCTAAGAAGGCTATC